GGTTTTGCTGCCTGTTTTCTTCTACTATTTTTATGGTTTCAGATCTAACATTTAAGTCTGTGATCCATTTTCAATTTAATCTTGTGTGTGGTATAAGAGGTGGTCTAGTTTCATCTTTCTGCATATATCTGTCCAATTTTCCCAACACCATTTATTGAATAAACTATCATTAGCCTATTAAATGAGCTTGCTTACTCTGTTGAATATTAATTGACTATAAAGGGGCCGGTTTATTTCAGGGCACTCTCTTTTATTTCACTGAGCTATGTGCCTGTTTCTATGCCAGTACCAAGCTGTTTTGATTACTACGGCCTTGAAGTATAGTTTGATATTAGATAGCATGATTCCTCCAACTTTGTTCTTTCTCAGGATTGCTATTGCTGTGTGGGGCCTTTTGTAGTTCCATATAACTTTTTGAAATATTTGGTCTACTTCTGTGAAATATGTCACTGGAATCTTGATAGGAATTGCACTGAATCTATAGATTCCTTTGGATAATATAGACATTTTAATGATGTTAATTTTTTCTATCCATGAGCATAGTATGTGTTTCACTTGTGTCTTCTTCAGTTTCTTATAATTTTCTGTGTACAAATCTTTCACGTCCTTGGTTAGGTTTATTTTCAGGTATTTTATTCTTTTTGGAGCAATTTTGAATGGGGTTGTTATCCCAATATCCCTTTCTGTTAGTTCATTATTTGCATATAAACTGTATCTGTTTTCTGAATATTAATTTTGTATCCTGCTACTTTGTTGAATTTATTTATCTGTTCTACTAGTTTCTGGTGGAATCCTTAGTGTTCTCTATGTACAGTATCACATCATCTGCAAATAAAGACAGTTTTACTTCTTTCTTTCCACTTTGGATGCCTTTCATTTCTTCTTCTTTTCTGATTTCTGTGACTAGAATTTCCAGTACTAAATCAAATAAGAGAGGTGGTAGCTGACATCCCTGTCATATTCTTGATCTTAAGGGGAATGCTTGTAGTTTTTGCCTATTGAGTATGATCCTGGCAGTGGGTTTGTCATATATGCCTTTATTATGTTTAGGCATATTCTTTCTATTCCCACTTTGCTGAGAGTTTGATCATAAATGGGTGCTGGATTTTATCAAAAGCTTTTTCTGTATCTATTGACCATGTCATTTTTATCCTCCTTTTAGTTTTTGTGATTACCAGAATAAATCCCATTTGATCATAGGGCACAATCTTTTACATGCACCTCCTGTATTAAGTTTGTTAATATATTGTTGAGGATTTTAGTGTCTATGTTCACCAGGGATATTGGCCTATAATTTTCTTTTCTTGCAGTATTTTCATCTGGCTTTGGAATTAGGATGAAACTGGCCTCATAAAATGAGTTTGGGAGGCTTCTTTCCTCTTGAATTCTACTAAATAGTTTAAGGAGAGGTGTTAGATATTCTTAGAATAATCGATGAATTCACCTGTGAAGCCATCTGGTTCAGGGCATTTGTTTGTTGGGAGTTTTTATTTTTTATTTTTATTGCTTCACTTTTAATGGGTGTAATCTGACTACTCAGATTTCTTAATTATTCCTAATTTATTTTTAGAAGATTTGATATTTAGGAATTTATCCATTTTCTCCAGGCTGTCTATCTTTTGGTATATGATTGTTCATAATATTTACTTGCAATCCTTTGTTTTTTTTGGTGTCAGTTGTTATTTCTTTTCATTCATATCTGATTTTAATTATATGGGCCCTTTCTCTTTTTTTCTTGATCAGTTTGATTAATGGTTTGTCAATCTTCTTTATCTTTTCAAAAAACAACTCTTGAGTTCATTAATCTTTTGTATCATTTTTTAGACTTTATTTCATTTATTTCTGCTCTGAAGTTTATTATTTCCTTCCTTCTACTCACTTTGGGCTTTGTTTGTTTTTCTTTTTAAAGTTCCTTTAAGTGTGTAGTTAGATTGTTTGAGATTTTTCTTGTTTTTTTGAGACAGGCCTGTTAGGCTATGAATATCTCCCTTAGGATTGCTTTTTCAGAGTCCCATAGATTTTGGATTGTTGTATCCTCATTTTCATTTGTTTCAAGGTATCTTTTGATTTCTTCCTTGATCTTGTTGTTAACCCATTCATTATTTAATAACATGTTACTTAGCTTCCATGTCTTTTCATGTTTTTCAGTGTTCTTGTGATTGACTTCTAGTTTCATAGCATCATGGTTAAAGAAGATGCTTGATATGATTTTAAGCTTCTTAAATTTATTGAGATTTGTTTTGTGTCCTACCAGGTGGTCTATCCTAGGAAACATTCCATGTGCACTTGAAAAGTATGTATATTGTGCTGCTTTGGGCTGAAATGCTCTGGAGATATCAATTATATCCATTTGATCTAGAGTGTTATTGAAGATCGCTGTCTCCTTGTTGATTCTGCCTGAAAGATCTATCCACTGAAGTCAATAGGGTATTAAAATCCCCAACTATGACTACAATTCTGTTGATCTCTCCCTTTATATCCATCAAGATTTCCTTCACATATTTAGGTGCTCCTATGTGGGGTGTGTGAATGTTTACGAGGGTATAGCCTCTTGTTGGACTCTTCCCTTTATCAGGATGTAGTGTACTTCTTTGTCCCTTACGACAGCCTTGGTTTTAAATTCTATTTTGTTGGATATAAATACTGCTACCATTGCTTTTTTTCTCTTCTATTTACATGAAATATCTTTTTCCAACCCTTTACTTTTAGCTTGTGTGTATCTTTTGATCTGAGATGGGACTCTTGGAGGCAGCATTTATAGGGGCCTTGCTTTTTTATCCATTCAGCTACCCTATATTTTTAGGTCAGAGTATTTACCTATTTATATTTAAGATGATTATTGATAGACATATATGTAGTGCCATTTTATTGTTAGACTGTTTTCCTCTTTTTTTTTCTTTCTCTTTTTTTCCCTTGTTCTTCTTAAAGCAAGCCCTTTAACATTTGTTTCAGTACTGATTTAGAGTTAACAAACTCCTTTAGAAGTTTTTCTTGTCTGGGAAGCTCCTTATCTCTCCTTCAATTTTAAGTGATAGCTTTGCTGGGTAAAGTAGCTTTAATTGTAGGTCCTTGCTTTTCATCACCTTGAATATTTCACACCATTCCCTTCTGGCCTGAAATGTTTCTGTTGAGAAATCAGATAACAATCTAATTGGTGCTTTCTTGTATGTAACTACCTGTTTTTCTCTTGTGGCTTTTAGGATTCTCTCCTTCTTTTTAAGCTTTGTCATTTAATTATGATGTGTCACAGTATAGGCCTCTTTGGTCCAATTTGTTTGGGACTCTGAGTTTCCTGGTCTTCTATATCTTTTCCCTTCACCAGATTAGGGAAGATTTCCATCATTATTTCTTAAAATAGGTCCTCAATCTTTTGCTAACTCTCTTCTCTTTCTGGTATTCCCATGATGTGGATGTTGTTACTTTTTTTTTAGATGAATTTTTTTTTTTATTTGTCTTAAGATCTCCTCATTTTTTTAAATTTTTTTTTTCTTCATTGCTCTGACTGGGTGTTTTGTTTTTTTTTTTACCTTGTCTTCCGAAACACTGATTCAGTCCTCTGCTTCATCTAACCTGCTGTTTATTCCTTCTAGTGTATTATTTATCTCAGATATTGCATTCTTTATTTCTGACTAGTCTTTTTTTATGGCCTCTATATCTTTTTTCATGCTGTTGAATATCCTTACAATCCTTATTTTAAACTCTCTGATAAATCGCTTGCCTCCATTTCATCTTGTTCTTCTAGAGAATTCTCTTGTTCTTTCATTTGGGGGTCTGTTTCTTTGTCTTCCCTTTTTGGCTGCTTCTTTGTATTTTTTACCTTGGAAGTTAAACTCTTTAGTCGTCAAGCTGTAATTAGCAGTCCAGCTTAAGCACCACAGGGTAGGCCAGAGTAATTCCTATAGGTAGGGCTATTGCTTCCCCTCAGGCTGATGCCACTTCAAGAGGAGTGCTGTGCCAAAGAAAAGATGGCTCCCACAGTATGAGGAGTGATTCAGCATAGGGATCCTGGTAGCTGATCCTTCCGTTATTTCCCTAGAGCACCCAGCCCCAGACTCTCCTCAAATGTCTCTAGTCCATGCTGCTCTCCCTCTGCCTGAGCCCAGGGTAAATGGCTGCAAATGAAATTTTGTGTTGGTCCATAAGAGGCTCTCTGCATCTCTAGTCATCTCTCCTTTGCAGATAAAAACCCTGCTGCTTTTCACAGCTGGATGTTATCTGGGTTTCTCTCTGGCTCTGGTACTGTTGGTGGGGAGCAAAGTTTGTGGTTTAGACCCCACACTTCTTAGGGAGAACCCCCACACCACTAAGTATCCTTCCAGAACTTCACCTGTGGTGAAGTGCTACCTGTGGGAGTCCAGCCTGCCCTCTCATGCCTCCTCTGCACTCCCTACCAGTCACATTGTGGTGAAATGGTTTCTTCTGTCTGTCCATGGTTATAAGGCTTCTTTCCAGCTAGGTTCAGTTGTTTGTTCAGGATGATTTCTGTACAATTTAGTTGTAATTCCAGATTGGTCCTTAGAAAAGGTTAGTGTAGCTTCCACTTATTCTTCCACCATCTTGGATTGACCTTGAGTGAATATTCTCAAGTACCATTCTCAACTGCACACAGTGAGATGCTTCCATCCTGTAATTTAATCTACAAGCACTTGAACTCCTTCCAAAACTTACATAAATAGGTGTTTTATTTAAATTAATCAAAAGAAAATTTATTACTATAACAAATTTGTATTGCCATTAAATGGTAGAATACATAATAAGGATATAGAATATTAAATTATGTTAATGAGTCAAATTTTTAAAATAATTTTATATTTAATACCTGAGATTTTTGGCTAACTACTGAAATTGTGACTAAATTTTAAGATAGTAAGGACTTAGCCATGTTTATATATTATGAACATAAAGAATTGTCACTTTTTCATTTATTAATCTATGCACTTGGATTTTTTTATATTAAGGTTTAATTATGATACTTATGCTGCCTTCTTTTCTTGGTACAGATCATGTAAATGGACACTGCACAAGTCCAACTTCTCATAGTTGCAGCTCTGGAAAGCGTCTTTCTAGTGCTGATGTTTCAAAAGTAAATCGCTGGGGGCCTGGGAGACCACCATTTCGAAAAGCACAGTCTGCTGCTTGCATGGAGATTTCTTTACCAATTACAACAGAAGGTAGGTTAAACATACACATTTTTTAGGATAATAATTAAAATTTGGCATACCATGGTAATGGGAGCTGAAGGACAAGGGAGGTCATATATAAAAGATATAAGAAACTAGTCAACTCTAGCACAATGAGTTACTGAGAGCCTGGCCAGGCTGTGGCCATGACTGCAAATCCATTCACACTCTCCCTCCTTCTTCACTTCTAATAACCAGATGATTCTGCTTATTGGTAGGATCCCTGTACAAAAGCAGACCTATGACTTAATCTGTGCTCTACATTCCCACCAATAATTCAGAGTTTCTTTCCATCTCAATGGTAAGCCTCTTAGTGTCTCTATCTATAAATAGATGTTCAATGTCTGGCAACCTTAATTTCTCAACTGTCAAGTGCATGTGACCCAAAAAAAGGCAGAATATTGGCCCTGGTTGATATGGCTTAGTGGATTGAGCATCAGCCTGAAAACCAAGAAGTCACCAGTTTGATTCCCAATCAGGTGGCTAGGTCCCTAGTTGGGGGCATGCAAGAGGCAGCTGATCAATGTTTCTCTCCCTCTCTTTCTCCCTTCCTTTGCCTCTCTCCAAAAATAAATAAATAAAATCTTTTTTAAAAGGCAAGAAATTGAATTCTAAATCTTACAGTCTCATTTATATGTTTGAAAAAAGGATTATTTGCTTACTTATGGAATGATTGTGGGGGCAGGGATTAAAGTATAAGAGACAGAAGACCAGAAATTTTCAGAGAGGAAAAATAAAGGAAGAAATCTTGTAACTTTGCTGCTACTGTCTTGCTGATAAAGAACTTTGCAGACAGAGGTAGGAAAAACTAATCTTAGAACTGTTTGCTGTGCTATAAAATAATTCCCCATGTATCACCCCATTTTTCAAAATATTTGATAGTAATGATCTATATTATATTACTCTTCAAAGTTTTTAAATAAATTTTTAGGTTTTATTGTTTATTTATTATTATGCCATACTAAATCTTGTCCAGGGATAATGGAGACAATGTTTTCTCTTTATCACTGGTGCCTTGAGTAGCAACCTTGAATGTTGATGAACCATGAATGAAAAAATTAGGGGAACATATTAGCTAGGAATGTTATAACAGAATCAAAATATAAAGGTCATAAAAGAAGCAACACTCAATTGCTGGATTGAAAGTTAAGAATTTAGAGTTTTAGATATTTCTGCCTCTAATTTGTGCTACATTCTGGAAAAATTACTTAACTCTATGTCTCTCTCTCCAAATCTACAAAATATATAGATTATATCCAAGTTTATTCTCTTTTCTAAATTCTATTGCAGACAATTATGTCTGTAACTTGCTGAGGGATAGGAGGAGGAAATTAGAAATACTATATTTTGTTTTCTAGAAAAAGGGTAGTCTGAGGAATTTATATTTAGTCTTTTTTAATTAAAATGCATCACATTTATACCTATTAAGAGAGAAAGGAGAGTGAAGGCAGTAGAAAGAATATGAGAAACATGTACTTGGAGTTTTTCGGAACAATACAACCTTCCTAATACCATGTAACTGAGGTGCTCAGTTTATGCTTGCCCAAGGGAATATAATGTGTAAGTGTTGCTGAGCAGGAGAACCAGAAACCATCCCATTTCCTTTAAGTGATCTGAAGGCCTCTCAGGAAGATCACCACTGTCAAAGGGATGGCATTGTCTACAGCTTTGTCTTTGGCCCTATACACTTAGGACTGAATTTGGACTCAAGGTAGGCAGCTTGAAACTAGTTCAGGAAGATAACATTTGCTCTTTGGCCTTGGTAAACAGTTCAATTTTTACAACTGTAATTACTCTAGTTGTAGCAAAACAAAAAAATGCATTAGGGGAATGTATTTGTCATAGAACATTTGTGACTTAAGGTTAGTAGCCACAATGTTGTCAGTAAGTAGAAATTGCCAAGAAATCATTAGGAATACTGTACCTCCAACAGTTGAAAGATAGAGGGAAACATAATTAAAATGATAGCAGAAATTCTTATAACTTTGACTATCTAGACTAATTATTTTTCCAGATTAGAGAATTTCAACTTGTAAAGTAATGTGGAGAGAAAAATATGGTGAACTGGAGGGTCAAGTTTTAGCCCCAGGCCTGCTTATGTTTTGGGTCAACACTTCTGGACTTTAATTTCTTCATTTTCAAAATACTTGGTGAACTAGATAAGCTGCCTTCCAGATCAGTGAACAAAGACTCATGATTCTATTTGTCCCTCATAATTTTGGTTTTCTTGTATCAAGTCTCACTTTACTTTTTCTGGAAACACACTAACATTCATCTTTGTTTTTCAAATTTCCATAGAAAGCCGAGAAAATTCCTATAATCGTTCTAGAAGCTCTAGTATCTCCAGTATTGACAAAGATTCTAAAGAAGCGATTACAGCACTATACTTCATGGAGTCCTTTGCTCGGAAAAATGACTCTACCATCTCCCCTTGTTTGTTTGTCGGAACTAGCCTGGGAATGGTGTTGATCATCTCCCTGAACCTACCTTCAGCAGATGAACAAAGATTCACAGAGCCAGTCATGGTATTGCCAAGTGGTAAGAGTTTTTATTTATTCATTCATTGCTTTTTCAAAATTTAAAGTATGGTAAAACATGAATTTGTACTGATCTGGAATAAAGATTGTAAGTATTCTGTGTAATAGAGAATTTCATAAATCATATACTGTTTCAACATTGTCATGTTGCAACTTTCCTCTAGGATAAAATAGCACAGCCATTTCTAGGGTAGTAAACTATGGAGCTGCCAGCCTACACAATGCCTTGGAAAATAAGTTCCTGAAAAGCACTGAAAAAAACCTAAAGCAAAAGTTAAAAAATTATTTTTTAAACTCTCATCTTTTATTTTTTTTAATTAGAAAGGTCACTTTTATTTTTTTAGAACTTTATTTATTTACTTATTTTTATACTTCTTTTTATTTACCTTTTTTAAATTGTTGTTCAAGTACAGTTGTCTCCATTTTCCTCCCACCACTGCCTCCCACCCAAGCCATCCCCACTCCCCACCCTTGATCTTACCCACTTTGGTTTTGTACATGTGTTTTATATACATGTTCCTGAAAACCGTTCCCTCTTTTGCCCCCATTATCCCCTCCCACCTCCCCTCTGATAACTGTCAGTTTGTTCTTTATTTCAGTGTCTCTGGTTATATTTTGCTTGCTTTTTTGTTTTGTTGATTAGGCATGGATGGATATGGAGAGCATTATACTAAGTGAAATAAGCCAGGCAAAACAGCACATGAGAAAATATCTTTTATTACATGTAGCAGAAGAGCACCAAACCTAAATTGGGGAGCTGCTTATGTGTTCATGATATTCCAAAAAAACCACCCAGTGGACTGGCTGATGTGGACATGCCATTTATTACTCACATAACACGGGAGTGCACCAGAGGCAGCTGGTCGTTGTGATAGAGGTGGCACTTCCTCTAGTCTGAGGTTCATTCTAAGGGGGTCCCAGACAAAGGAATCTCATGTCCTATGCATGACTCTAAAGTTCATTGACTCAGTGTGTAAAAGGTCAAGAAGCAGTCACAAGACAAGAAGCCATTCCTAAAACGAGATAAAGAGGGAGTTGCAACCCACTCCCAAAACAATACACATTCCTCTGGCCAGTGGCCATCTGACCAGCTCTCCATCATGGGAGGCAGAAGGGCAATGTACACTGACCCTACACTACATATCTAATTTTTAAGGAAATATGCACAGTTCTCTTAGTCCTCAGCCTACTTTTTAGTGAAATTAAGAATTGGTTTTTTGAAAAGATAACCAATTGACAAACCTTTAGCTAGACTTAGAAAAAATGAGAGAAGACTCAAATAAAATCAGAAATGAAAGATGAGACATTGCTGGATAACCTAGAAGAAATGAATAAATTCCTAGAAACATACAACCTACTAAAACTGAATCATGAAGAAATAGAAGCTCTGAACAGACCTATAACTAATAAAGAGATTGAATCAGTAATCAAAAACCCCTTAACCAAAAAAAAAAAAAAAAAACCCACTTCTTTAAGGAATCATTTCACATAAATTTATCTTGGTTATCTTGAGAACAAATTTTAATCAGTGATATGGAAATTTGAAATGCACTAAGTCATTGGATTTTAAAGTGGGAAAAGCTAGGCATTATCCATTCTGATATCGATCACTGTAGTCTGAATCCGAGTCACTTGGAGGGTTTGTTACAGCACAAATTGTTGGGTGCCACCCTTGGACTTTCTGAATCAGTAGTTCTGGGCTGGGATCTGAGGATTTGCATTTTTAATGAGCTCCCAGGTGATACTGACCAAAATAGTGCAACTTCACAGGCTAGGGTGAAAAAACCCACCGTTCTTACCTCTTGTATAGGGAAGAACCCAGTCATTCCTCCTTGTGTGTCTCTCCTATGTGTCACACTATTACCTTTCATTTTCACACTGCTTCACTGGCAACACTACTTAATACCAGAGCTGTGGAAGGTTTTGTTTTGTTTTGTTTTGTTTTGCCACAAGAAATTCTGTGCAACAAGAGATTCTCTGCAACACTCTGGGTGCCCTACGATTTAACTCAGTTCTGATACTGGAGATGGCATCAGATCCCACAGGTTAAGGACTCAATCCCACAAGACTGTCCCTTGAACCTCCTCCAGAGACCAATTGCAAATCAAGGTTATTACTACCTGTGCTTCAGCTGTAAATGTGAGGCCATAACTCCCCTCCTTGGGTTCAATTAATTTGCTACAGTGGCTCACAGAACTCAAAAAACCTATTTACTTACTTTATCCAGTTTATTGTGAAAGGATCTAGGTAAACATCCAGATTGAAGAGATGCAGAGGATAAAGTATTTGGGAAGGACACAGAGTTCTCATGCTCTCTTCCCGCACTTTCGCCTTTTCACCAACCAGGAAGTTCTCCCAAACCCCTCCTTCGGGATTTTATGTAGGCTTCATTACAGGAATAATTAATTAAATCTTTGACCACTGATGATTGAACTCAATCTCTGGTCCCTCTTCTTTAGCCATCCCTTTAATCATGTGGTTGGTTCCCCTGGCAATTAGACCCCATCCTAATGTGAGGGCCAAAGATCACCTCTTTAACATAACAAAAGACAATGGTGTTGCTGTCATCTGGAAATTCCAAGAGTTTTAAGAGCTCTGTGCCAGAATAGGTGATAAAGACGAAACAAAGAGTAAATCACAATGTTGCATATGCATATTCAGCTTAATCAAGATAAATTTAATTCTGCCTACTTTATTTCTATACCTTTGTAGCTGAATATGGTTGGAGAAAATATATAACCATGCTAACAGTCTCATTTTGAAATAAATCATCAATAACCTTAAGTGGGCTCCTGTGTTGCTAAAGTCATACTTTAGTGATCTTGTTCTCTCTCCCACCCTCTTGAACATCCATTGCAATTTTCTCCACTCTCCTCAACTCTCCAGTACCTCCTCTGCTGTTTTCAATCTCAGCTAATAATGAAGTGTTCTCTTTCACTGAGAAAACTGAAAGAGTCAGATAAGAATTTCAACAGCTGCCACCACCACATCTGCCAGCCTGCCTATATCTCCATGGTCTCTACATTCTTTCCTGCTATTATGACTAAACTGTGTAGGCTCCTAAGTGGGTCATCTTCTACTTGTGTACACAAGATTCTGCCCCCTTCACCTACTCAAGAAAGTCAATCCGGCAATTTTTTTCTTTTTATAATTATATTATTATATTTATATTATTATACATAGTTGTATAATATAATTATAATAAGTATTTCTATTAGATCAGCATACAAACATGCTGTTACTTCCCCCATTAAAAGAGAAACACCCTCTCTTAAATCTATTCACCAATAATCCCCCATTTTTATCTTTAATCACTGCTTTATCTTCAATGCAAAATTCCTTGCAATGCTTTTTATAACCACTATTTGCGATGTTATTCTCTCATTGTGTCTTGAGTCCATTGTGATCAAATTTTCTGCCATACCAATCAACAAAAATCTCTAGGTTATCACTAACCATATTGCTAAATCCAGTGGTCAATTCTCAGGCAATACCTTGGCATCTCAATAACATAATACAAAATTAAGCATTGTCCCTACCTTTAAACACTTCGCTTGGATTCCAGAACACTTTATTTACCTAGTTTTCTTCCTGTATTTCTAGCCATTCTATCTTAGTCCTCTTTGCTGTTTCCTCCTCAGTTCACTACCTTAAAATATTAGATTGCCCAAAGACAATCTTTGAACCTTTTCTACTTTTTCTTTTTGTTGTCAAACTTGTTTGTTCCTATTATAGATATCTGAGCTTTTTAGGAATACTTGTTTATTTTTTATATTTTTATTTATTTATTTTTAGACAGAAAGGAGGGGAAAGAGAGAGGGAGAAAAACATCAATGTGTGGTTGCCTCTTGTGCACCCCCTACTAGGGACCTTGCCCACAACCCAGGCATGTGCCCTGACTGGGAATTGAACCAGCAACCCTTTGATTCCCAGGCTGGCACTCAATCCACTGAGCCACACCAACCAAGGCTCTGTTTTTTATTTATATTTAAACTCTAGATTACAGGTGGCAAACACAAGGCCTCAGGCCGAATCTGGCCCCCCACCTTGTTTTATCCAGCCTGGCATCTTTTTTCTACCCAGTAGCAGCTCCAAGCTACTTGCCCCTAGTTAAGGAGTAGTTACATTTACACAGTCCTAAAATTACATTTGGCCCTTTGAAGGTATCCATAAGGCTAATGTGGCCCCTGGAGAAAATGAGTTTGACACCCCTGTCCTAGATGAAATCAGCCAGCCTCATGATTTTCAATGCCATTTATAATCTGATGGGTCATATATTTCCATTTATAGGTGGACTTATACCCAAATTTCTGACATAAATATCCAGTTAGTTGACATCCAATGGATACTTAATAAGCATCTGAAGCTCAATATATCCAAGATTGACTTTCTGATATACTTTTCTTTCTCCTATAGTCTTTCCCACAGTATTTATTTATGGCAATTCCATCATTCTGATTTCTCAAGTCAAAAACAGAATCACCCTTGATCACTATGTTTCTTTCCCACTCTAAATCCAAGTTATTAGCAAATTCTGTTGGTTTGACCTTTATAATCTACTCAGATTCTAATCATTTCCCACTACCTTTTACCAAACTTGTTGGAGCAAGCCTCTCTCTGTTTCTCACCTGGATTATTGTGCTTACCTCTTAACTGCTCCTCCCTTCTTCCAACCTCAACTCCCCATAGGATATGCCCAGCAGGAAGAGTGATCCCATTAAATGAAAATTAGGTTATATCACTCTACTCTCAAAGTCCTGCCATCTCAAACTCAGTAAAAGTCTGTCTTTACTGTGTCCTACACAAACCTACGTGACCTGGCTCCATATTATCTCTCTGTCCTTATTTCCTATGAGTCTGCCCTTCACTGCTGTAGAAAGTCAAGATCTTTAAAATGTTTTAGATTGTACTTTACTTGCAAGACAAAGTTAGGTGGCCATTTTCATTGCTGCTGATAGAAAACATGAGACTCCTATGTCAGAGATGAAGGATAATCACAGTAACCAGAATATGAGCATCTTGTCCTGGTTTCCTGTGCTGCCTAATTCCCACAGTATGGTGCCTTCTCTTCTGTATTAGTCCACTCAGGCTCCTGTAACACAATACCAGAGACTAGGTGCTTAAACAACAGAAATTTAGTGTATTTTCTCACACTCACAGAGACTAGAAGTCCCAAATCAATGTGCCAACACTGTTGGTAACTGGGGAGAGCTCTGTTCTAGAGTTGCAGATGGCTTCCTTCTCACTGTGCTCATATGGCCTTTCTCCTGGGTCCCCACAGAGAGGAAGAGAGAGCTCTCTTGTGTCTCTTCTTTTAAGGGCACTAATTCTATCACATCAGGTCCCCACCCTTTCTATCTGTCTATCATAGAAAGTATGTTCTATTAAGGTGGGGGGGGTTGTCTTTCTTTATTCACTGTTATATCCCTTGTGCCTAAAACAGAGCTAGAATATACAGTTAGTTCTCAGTAAATATTTGTTGATTAAATGAAGGTTGTATGTAGTAGGGAGGGCTGATTATTTGGAAAGCTAGAGTCAGGTACACTTCTAGCCTGTTTTCCCTCCTTTAAGAGGGAAATCCTAATGAATTGTGTAGTCAATTATTTACTGTAGACTGAATTGTTAGGATTTTATAGAAGCCCTTAAATTTAAACTTACTTTGTAATGAAGTGTAATTCTAAAAAAATAGAGATTGTAATTTGGATTTGCTTAAGTTTTCTTTTTAAAAATATATTTTATTGATTATGCCATTACAGTTGTCCCATTTTCCCCCCTTCATTTCCCTCCACCTTGCACACCCCTCCTCCACCATTTCTACCCACTTTAGTTTATGTCCATGTGTCACAAGTTCTTTAGATTCTATATTTCCCCTGCTATTCTTGCCCTGCCCCCTGTCTATTTTCTACCTACCATCTATGCTACTTATTTTCTGTACCTTCCCCCCTTCTCCTCCTCCCACTCTCCTGTTGCTAACCTTCCATGTGATCTCCATTTCTATGGTTCTGCTCCTGATCTAGCTGTCCTCTTAGTTTGCTTTTGTTTTAGGTGTGGTTGTTTATAACTGTGAGTTTGCTGTCCTTTCACTGTTCATCTTTTTTATCTTCTTTTTCTTAGGTAAGTCCCTTTAACATTTCATATAATAAGGGCTTGGTGATGATGAACTCCTTGAATTTGATCTTATCTGAGAAGCACTTTATCTGCCCTTCCATTCTAAATCAAAGCTTTGCTGGATAGAGCAATCTTGGTTGTAGGTCTTTGGATTTCATGACTTGGAATATTTCTTTCCAGTCCCTTCTTGCCTGGAAGGTCTCTTTTGAGAAGTCAGCTAACAGTCTGATGGGAAGTCCTTTGTAGGTGACTGTCCCCTTATCTCTTGCTGCTTCTAGGATTCTCTCCTTCATTTTAATCTTGGCTAATGTAATTATGATGTGCCTTGGTGTGTTCCTCCTTGGGCCCACCTTCTTTGGGACTCTCTGAGCTTCCTGGATTTCCTGGAAGTGTATTTCCTTTGCCAGATTGGGAAAGTTGTCTTTTATTATTTGTTCAAATAAGTTTTCCACTCATGGCTATTCCTCTTCCCCTTCTTGTACCCCTATAATTCAGATGTTGGAATGTTTAAAGATTTCTTGGAGGTTCCTAAGCCTCTCCTTATCTTTTTGAATTCTTATTTCTTCATTATTTTCTGTCTCATCATTTTTTTCTTCCTTCTGGTCCATTCCCTTGATTTTAGTCCCAGTTTTCTTTCTATCACTATTGGTTCTCCATGCATTTTGCTTTCATTTCACTTAGTGTAGCCTTCATTTGTTCCTCTAATTTGTGACTAAAATCAGCCAGTTCTGTGAGCATCCTGATCACCAGCGCTTTGAACTGATAAGTTGGCTATCTCTTGGTTGCTTAGAAGTATTGGCTCTGGGGCTTTGAGTTGTTCTTCTGCTTGAGCCGTAATGTTTTGGTCTGTTCACACCTGTTATGTATGAGGGGCAAAAGCTTAGGTGTTCACCAGGGCAGGTCAATCCAGTTGCTGGTTTGTGACTGGGGGCGGGGTCAGAGAGGGGGCAATGGCATTCATTCTGCTCTATCTCGGATTTAGGTCCCCTCTGTTGCTTCCCACAAGCAAACTGGGCCCTTCTGGTGCTGGTTCCTGGGTGGCTGGGCTTGTGTACATTCTAGGACCCTGTGGGTCTCTCCAACAAACTCTCCTGTGACGCTGGGCACCACGCCTGGCACCTCAACCCCCCACAAGTTTTTTCAATTGGTGCTTTTAGGCTTTATTTCCCATTGCTGGGGCCCTGGGTTGTTCGGTCTGTCTCACTGTTTTTTCACCTGGTTTATCTGTGCATGAATGTGTGACCACAGTGAGCCAGCTGCCTTGCACTCTCACTGGGTCTGCCCATTGTCACCCCACACCTAGGATCTGCCAACTGCTGCCTGTGTGCCTGGGTCGGTCCAGCAGCCACTGCTTTTCTCTGCCACAACCCCTCTCCACCAGTCAACAACGCCACCCATCTTAGCAGTCTAGAAGAATGATTTGTCGTCAGACTTCTGTACAGTTCAATTTCTGTCTGTTTTGGTTGTGCTTTTGTTTCTAAATCTTTGTTGTCTTTAAATTTGGTTGTGCGAGGAGGTACAGTATTTCCACATATGCCTCCATCTTGGCTGAAAGCCCCCTTTTTTTTTAAGTTAGGAGAGAATAAAGGCAAAGTCATCAAGATCAATAATACATTATTAGGAAAACTTAACACCCTCTAAGAACCTAATGAACAGAATATAAACAAAGCCTTTTCACCACAAATTAGGAAACAAAGCAGTTGTTTTGGTAAGAGCAGCTTATTAAGAAATTGTCATTTTGATGCTGACAGCTTGTATCAGATATAAGTAAAATGGATTTAAAAATCTAAGTTTCTTTTCTCTTTCATCTACTTTAGGCTATCTCTAATTTGAGGATGCTGAGATATACTTAGAAAAGTTTTCTCTCGGCAGGTAGTTATGGAAATGTGGTTTTATAGAAGGGTCAATTCTAGATTAATTCTAATGAAATCATTCATCATAGCTATTGGCATTATTTTTTCTTCATGGGAGTCTGGGGAGCTGGCTTCCTTCTACCTTGATCCTCAGACCGAAGTGCCTCTGTTCTCTTATCCTCTTCAGTTACCTTGCAAAACATCCACAGGCCACAAATTCTGGTTTTAAAGTAAGATGTTAAATCATCTAAACGTTACTTTGGAGCTGATAAATTTTAAGTACTTTGAGTTATAAAGTACTTTCTAAATGGAATGTATTTTTACATATCACCCTTTCCTTTTGATGTCTCTGTCACATACACACTCTTGCAGCCTATCAGCCTGATTAACCTTCTTACTCTCACTACATGATGTCAAAGGACAAAGGCAAAATAAAGGCTGTCAGGGCATTGCTTAAAGGGGAGTCTGGAAATGTCCAAAGGCAAATCTATTCCATGTTACCTCCTAAGCTTCATAGTCCTGTCTTCTGGGACTGGTAAAAATCACCCATAGGTAGTAATCTGGCAGGAATATTCAACCTTCAGGAATGCAGCTGAGTGAATCTCTTTTCAGTATAAAGGTGGGCTAGCATGCCCAAGAACCAAAGGTAGTTTGTTGGTTTTGTTCTATATAATCAAAATTGCTAGCCTAAATTCTATCTGGTAAAAGTTCATGACATTTATTCTAAGTGCTCAATATCAGAAGAAGAAAAAAAGCATTTTCTAGTTAATGAGTCTATGAAATAAGTGGAATCTGATGGTGTGATTATTTTTTCATTGGAAGTTATTTCAATAAATGAAAATTATACCTTTTAGCCCTGGCTAGTGTAGCTCAGTTGTTTACAAAATCATCCCATAAACTGAAAGGTCTCAGGTCAGGGCACATGCCTGGGTTGTAGGTTCTGTCCCTGGTTAGGGCATGTGAGAGAGGCAACCTGATGTTTCCTGCTCACACTGATATTTCTCTCCCACCTTTCCCCTCTTTCTAAAATCAGTAAGCATGTCCTTGGATGAGGAGAAAAAGAAAGGAAACTATATAGTATAAAGAAGGAACACTGGATTAAGAATCAGGAAACCCAAGTTCTAGTCTAGACTAAGCCACTAACTTGCTATGTAACCTGACTCAAGTCTCATTATCTTTGGGGGGGGGGGTCTCTGTTTTCTTATTAATAGAATGAGAGCATTTGACAAGTTGATGTCTTAGACTCCTGTTAGAACTAACATTCTATAATTTCAAATTATTGTAACTGATAAACTCACAAATATACTTATTTATGTATATTACTGTAATGTTATAATGTATAGATATAAATTATCATAATAGAAAACATTTGTTGCCCATAAGAAATAACAGCTATTTTAGAAAGAATTGCACTTGCCAATGATATGAAATTGTTTTCATAGGTACATTCCTGTCATTGAAAGGAGCCGTGCTAACATTCTCCTGTATGGATCGAACTGGTGGACTGATGCAACCGTCATACGAAGTTTGGAGGGACCCAAACAACATAGATGAAAATGAGAAATCTTGCAGAAGGAAATTGGTCATGAACTGTCCCTCTCTGTCACAAGAAATAGGAGATCATCAGTATACAATAATCTGCTCAGAAAAACAAGCCAAAGTTTACTCACTGCCTTCTCAGACTTGCCTTTATGTTCATAACATCACTGAGACATCTTTTCTACTGCAAGCAGATGTGGTGGTCATGTGTAACAGTGCCTGCTTGGCATGCTTTTGTGCCAATGGGCATATCATGATAATGAGGTACTTGCCTTCTCTATAAATTATCTGTTAATTACAGCAGTGCCAACAAGGTACAATTCTGAAAAGTACATGTATAATGGGAAAGACATTATCCAGAAGTAACCTGAGATCTTTGTTTCTTATATTTTTTAATGTTTATTGTTCTACAATTTGAGAAAAGTTTAGGTTTTTAATTTTTTCCTTTAGCTAAAAATGCTTCACATTGTGAATAATATATATATTAATTGGCATTAAAGAATCTAAGAAAAGAGTGATATTTTCCAGTCTTTCACACATTCATTCAGCAAACATTTATTGAGGATATGTTATCTCCCAGAAGCTATGCTAGGCACTGGAAATATAAAGATGAATAAACTATAAGGAAAATAAATGAAATGTTACTTTTACGAGGTTTCATAGTTCAGACAAGAATTTTACATACAGAATTTAATTTAATCCTGATAGCTTCCCTAGGACAGAGAAAATAGATTTGCATCCTCCATTTTACATATGTCAATAAATTAACCTCTTTCCACCATCATGCATTAACTTGACTGAATCTATTGTGGGTGTGTACTTAACTGGGTTTGTTTTGGACTCATATCCTAAGGAACTTAGTTACTTGAAATGTTATGAAATGCCATAACATATACTTTTTAACATTTTTCATTCTAAGTCTTTGAAATCTAGTGAATAATTTACACTTACAGAACATCTCAAATCAGATGAGCCATGTGTCAGCTGCTCACTAGACACGTGCGGCTCCCGGTTACTGCATTGGACAGCACAGTGCTAGAACCTCATGAAAAGCTCATTCCAACAGCACGTATTTCAGGTCCCATTTTATATGGTAAGGTTCTAGGGTTCAAATTGTAATTATAAGCTACTTTGATATAAGAAATTAGCACTATTTTTTCAAGGTGCTGATTTTATGATCTGGAATAATTTAAAATCATCGTGCATACTGGAATTAGTAGGATGATTCCAAAGTTCGAGATATAATTGAAAGTCTATTTTTCTACTTTTGGCATGAAAGGTATGATTTAAAAGCAAGGAGACTGGTTTTCTTCAGTAGTTTGTTACACTGGCTCTAATGTCAGTATCCAAAGGGACAGTCTGATGGGTTTAAGCAAAATCATTGGCTACAAACATTGGGATAAGCACATAGCCATTTGGTAAGACACTGGAGATTGGGGATATTCATTTGGATGTGCAAATTTTCATCTCTTATTTAAAACTTACTCTTCTTCCCTTTCAGCCCTGACTGTGCTTATTTATTAATCATGCCTTCAGTGCAGGTGCCCTAAGTCATTGGTAATTTTTCATTTCCTGTGTATAGAGGGGTAAAGGAAAGGGAAACAAGGGCGCTCCATCCCCTAGCACAGTGAACTGGACCTACTCCATGTGTCCATCAGTGCATTACCTCCTCAGACTCAGGAACTTTGCCTTAAAAGACCCAGTATGTAATTAGGCACTTTCTAGCAGCAGTGTTTTTATCATAATTAGACTATAGCCGTATCATAGGAACCTGTGAAAAGCTGCAAACAGTATCCTGAAATTGCTGGCCACTGCATTTAGTCATTCTTCAAAAACATTTGCTAAGTATGTAGATGGATTAAGACAGAAGAACTGTACTCATGCTTTTTGTGTATATGATTTTATGTCAAAGTCAGTTTATTAACTCTGAGACTTCAAGAGATTAAAAAGAAACAACCATAAAATAGTGATATCAACATAACTGTTTTTCTCTAAGGATTTGCAAATTTTATAGAGAAATTAAAAGCTTCCAACAATTTGAATATGACAGTTGGATTTGCTTTTTTCCATGCAGCCTACCCAGTCTCCGCCCAATGTTGGATGTTAATTATCTGCCACTGACAGACATGCGGATAGCACGGACATTCTGTTTCACCAACGAAGGACAGGCATTGTACCTCGTCTCTCCAACTGAAATTCAGCGGTTAACATATAGCCAAGAGATGTGTGATAATCTACAGGTAGGTCATGCCATTTATGAAAAAATCATTGGAATAGTTATAAAAAGAAAGAGAATGAGAGATATCCAAAAGTCAAAGTATTATTGGACCACACAATAAATATGCTTTTCTAGAATATACCTGAATATTATGTTCATCATTGTGAACCTAAAAAAGTTCTAGTGCAATTCTAGGTATATGTAGAAAAAAACAAGAAAGAGAGGAAAATGTGAAGATTATGCATATTAAATTTTTTGTTTATTGTATTTTGTTTTGTTTTGTTTTTTGCCTGTGGAGAATGCTCTGAAGGATTATAAACCATCCCTCCCGGGGAGACAATATGTATGCACACACAAAACTTTGCTTACAATTCAGGGAGCTCTTGGACTTTTTTTGAAGAGAACAATATAGTTAAGAGCCATATAAAATAAACACATATTTACTCAGTGGGTTAGAATTGGGTATTTGGGCATTTGAATTTCATCATAACAGATAAGCAGAGCCTAGAAACAGAATAAGTATAAAAACCTATGTAACCTTGGGCAAGTAAAAGTGCTTACAAAATTTTTTGAAAATATCTTAGAAATTCTACTGATTCAGTCCCCTCACTTTACAAATAATAAAACTGATATCCATCCATTATAACACAGAGGTTAAGGATATAAGCTCTGAACTATTTAAGTTGTATTTTACCCACTTGTATAACTTGGGGTATTTTACTTAACCTACCTGAATGCTGTACCTTAGAGCATTATTGTGAGAATTAAGGAAGAATTCATATAAAGCACTGAGCACAGTCTCTGGAATATAGTAAGTTTTAAAAATAAATAGTAATAAATACTATTATCATTATTCAACAAATACTTATTGAGTTTTTACTGTTTGCCTGGTACTTGGCTAAGCTCTAGGAATGAAATAATAAACAAGATACAATCCCTATCTTCAAGTGTGGAGGGAGAGAGAAGCAAACCGACAACTACAATTCTCTCTGGACATGCTGTCTATACATGGCCATGCCAGTTTGGGGAGACGTGTAAGAGGGGGCACCCAGGCCGAGGAACAGAGGGAGGGGCTAGTTAGAAAGGATTATGAAGGGGGAATAGGAGTTACCCATGGGAATGGATGGCTGGGGATGGAAATGGTAAATTTATTCTTTTTTTAAAAGATTCTTTTAAAAGAGAGGGCTGAAAGGAGGGAGAAGAGAGGGAAACAGCGATGGTTGCCTTTTGCTCACTCCCAACATGGAACCTGGCCAACAACGAAAGCATGTGCCCCTGACAAGAGTCAAACCTGTGACCTTTGGTTAGCAGAATGATGCCCAACCCACTGAGCTGCAGCAGTCAGGGCCATCATGATACTCTTGACTAAGTATTGCCATGAGAAAGCCCAGCAGTTTGGGAAACTGCCAACAAAGTTCAGAATTCGGAATGAAAAGAGTGGAGGGATGGTGATAGAGAATTAGTCAAGAATAGATCTTGAAGCACCTTGTAAGCTCATTAAGGAATGTGGCATTTATCCCAAGGGCAATAGGAAGTCATTTAAAAGATTTGGAAAATTTGGCCCAGGCTGGTGTGGCTCAGTGGGTTGGGCATCATCCCATGGGGCAAAAGGTGCCTATTTGATTCCCATGGTCGGGGCATGTGCCTGGGTTGGGGTGGTGGTTGGGGGCCTGTGGGAGGCAACTGATCCATGTGTCTCTTTCACATCATTGTTTCTCTCCCTCTCTTTCTTCTTTCCCCTCTCTCTCAAAATAAATTTTAAAAAAAAATCTTTAAAGGGTTTAGCAAATTTGTTTATTGAAATTTATATTCTGGTTGCAGTATAGTAATTGGTTTTGAGGAATTAAGACTGAAGGTAGAGAGAACAGTTAGGAGGCTTTTTAAAAATAATTAATGCCCCAAATAACAGTGACTTGAAATACAGCAGCCAGCAGTGAGGGAGGAGAAAAGTTAGAAAATTCAATACACTAGAAGTATAATCAGTTGGATTGGAGAGTTATTAGAGGAAGGAGTGAGAGAAAGGGAGAAATTAATAACTATTTCTGGGTTTCTGGCTTGGGGAACTAATTAGATGATGTACTGCCACTGCCATTCCCAAAGAGAAAGGATTAAGGAAGAGTGCTGGTCTGGGGAGCAGAGATGAGGGGAGGAGATGAAGATGAAGTCACACTGCAAGTTCACAAGCAAACTGGTATTAGCTCACAGATGTCCTGATTTTTCTAGTTGTAGTTCCTTTCTCCATATTGATAGTTCTTAAATTTTGATTGGCTTTAGAAAGATTTGGAGAACAAATTTAAAATATAGATAACCAGAGCATGTCTTTGTAGATTCTGATTTGGTATGCATGGAATAAGACCTGAGCACCAGTGTTTCAAACAAGATTTTTCGTCAGTTATTCTAAAGCATGCCAAATATTGAGAACAATTGCACCTCACCAGGTAGTGGCTGCCTATTTGACCCATTTAAATTATTTCGAGCCATTTAATAATTTTGTAGTTGATATAAAAATAAATCCAACCTTTCTCCAGGAACCACCAAAGGCTTCCCATTTCACAGGGCAGTCCTTGCTTGGTTTAGGAGACAGATTAGGAACACAGAGGCTACAGTAATTGAAAAAGACCAAAAGTCTAGCTTGACAGTCATTGATCAGGTGAAAATTAACCCTAAAGTGAATATATTATCTTCCCTTGCTTTCGGAGTATATAAGGAAAAAGAGCACAGAAAAATGAAAATTTTAGGATGTCAGTTATTAAAGAAGGCATGGAAAAGGAGAAAGAAATGCCAGAGATGGAACCGGGAGCAAAGCAGGAATCACCAGCAATTTCCCACTTGCTTGTGATTGGGAATATCTTGTAGTTTCCAATGCCGGAACCAGCAGCTCAATTATAGGTATACATGAAACAAAACCTAACCAACAAGGAACTCCTTCAAACTCGTGTAGGGAAGGAAAAACACCATCTTCCTCAAGCCTTCCAAGCTGTTGGCTGGGACTCCTGTAACAAAAAACAATTAACGAGGGAAAAGCATACAAATTTATTGAATGTAAGTTTTACATGACATGGGAATCTTCATAAGGAAATAAAAACCTGAAGAAGTGCTTAAACCTGGGTGTTTTTATGCTAGGTTTAATGAGATGTGGAAAGTCATGGAAAAAATGTAATAGGACAAAAAAGGGAATAAACTAAGTATAGTAAACTGGGGGAAAGAAAAAATCACCAGGAAAATATGGAAAGTAAACTGTCTTTGTACATATAGGTGAGATCATGTGGTATTTGTCTTTCACCACCTCGCTCTTTCACTTGGCATAGTGCTCTCCAGTTCCATCCATGCTGTTGCAAAGGGTACAACGAGCTCCTTCTTTCTCTCTGTTGCATAGAATTACATCATGTAAATATACCACAGTTTTTTTAGCCACTCATTTACTGGTGGGCACTTAGGTTGCTTCCAGCACTTGGCTATTGTACATTGTGCTGCTATGAACATTGGGGTGCATAGGTTCTTTGAATTAGTGTTTCAGGATTCTTAGGGTATAGTCCCAGCAGTGGAATTGCTGGGTCAAAAGCAGTTCCATTTTTAGTTTTTTTGATCAACAAAAACAAGCAAGCAAAATATAACCAGAGACACTGAAATAAAGAACAAACTGACAGTAATCAGAGGAGAGGGGAGAGAAGGATAATGGGGTAAAATAGGGGAATGGCCATCCAGGAACATGTATAAAGGACACATGGAAAAAGCCAAGGGGGGGTAGGATCGAGGGTGGGAGGCAGGGATGGGTGGGGCAAAAATGGAAGCAATTGCACTTGAACAACAGTAAAAAAAAAACAAAACTGTCTTTTCACAATGTGCTCTAACAATCTCAGTGTTTCCTTTTGATCTATTGATTTATTTACTTTATTTGATACAGGACATGCTGGGAGATTTGTTTACTCCCATAGAAACACCAGAAGCTCAAAACAGAGGTTTTCTAAAGGGACTGTTCGGTGGAAGTGGACAGACATTTGATAGAGAAGAGCTCTGTAAGTCAACTCCTGATCATAAATTTGTATCACAAAGCAGAATACCTGTGTATGTGTGTGTGTGTAACTTAATGTAATATGTGACTTCAAATTCTAGACTAGATTATTTTGCTTTTGAATAAAACGGATCAGTTTGTATTAGGAAGTAGCATAACAAAAACAGAAAGTAAAGTTCACACAAATAATGAGTGAGCTAATAGATGTGTAATTTGCGTGGTAAATGTCTTTGCCATGCCTGCAAGCATGGTAAAGACATTCAATTACTAAAGTCTGGAAAAAACACAGTTTTGAATCGGTCTGCCTTTTAACCACTGCTAAAAACCAGATTCTGTATTCAGAATACAAGATTTATCAGGATGATCACTCCATGAGGTATATATAAATGGGAAATCACTACATTGTACCCTTGAAACTAATATAATTTTGTATATCAACTGTAATTAAAAAATAACCCCAAAATGTAATTGTGCCATATTGTATGGAATCCACACACATAGAAAAGGCTATGGCAACAATATCTCTCACAGTTGCTTTTGGTTTTTTGTATTTAATAGTTTTTATTGACTATACTGTTATAATTTTCCCAACTTTTTTCCCTGTATTCCCCCACCCTGCCCCCCAACCCTCCAGCATTCCCCCCTCTTAGTCCATGTCCATGAACTGTGCATATAAACTCTGTGAGTCCTCTGTTTCCTATACCATTTTAATATATTTTATTGATATGCTATTACAGTTGTCCCATTTCCCCCACTTCATATCCCTCCTCCCTGAATACCCCCTCCCACCCACATTCCCCCCTTTAGTTCATGACCATGTGTCGTAAGTTCTTTAGCTTCTACATTTCCCACACTACTCTTGCCCTCCCCCATCTAAATTCTTTCTACCTATACCATTTTTTATCTCTCCCCGTCTACCTTATGCCTGCTAACCATGCTTCTTCTTCCATGCACCTTCTCCCCTCTATTCCTCCCTCCCTCCTCCCCACCAAAATCCCTCCATATGATCTCCACTTTTCTGATTCTGTTTCTGTTCTGGTTGTTTGCTTAGTTTTTGTTTCCATTGTTTTTCTTTTCGTATAGGTTCATCTGTTGATAGTTGTGAGTGTGTTGTCATTTTACTATTCATATTTTTTATCTTTTTCTTTTATTTAAATATATTTTATTGATTATGCCATTACAGTTGTCCTATTTCCCCCCTTCATTCCCCTCCACCCTGCACACCCCCTCCCCCAACATACCCCTCTTTAGTTTATGTTCATGTGTCACAAGTTCTTTAGATTCTATATTTCCCATACTATTCTCACCCTCCCCCCTATCTATTTTCTACCTACTGTCTATGCTACTTGTTCACTGTACCTTCTCCCCCCTTCTCCTCCTCCCACTCCCCTGTGGCTAACCCTCCATGTGATCTCCATTTCTATGGTTCCACTCCTGATCTATCTGTCCTCTTAGACTGCTTTTGTTTTAGGTGTGTTAATAACTGTGAGTTTGCTGTCCTTTCACTGTTCATATTTTTTTTCTTCTTTTTATTAGATAAGTCCCTTTAACACTTCATATAATAAGGGCTTGGTAATGATGAACTCCTTGAACTTGACCTTATCTGAGAAGCACTTTATCTGCCCTTCCATTCTAAATGAAAGCTTTGCTGGATAGAGCAATCTTGGATGTAGGTCTTTGGATGTCATGACTTGAAATACTTCTCTCCAGCCCCTTCTTGCCTGGAAGATCTCTTTTGAGAAATCAGCTGACAGTCTGATGGGAAGTCCTTTGTAGGTGACTGTCCCCTTATCTCTTGCTGCTTCTAGAATTCTCTCCTTCATTTTAATCTTGGCTAATATAATGATGATGTGCCTTAGTGTGTTCCTTCCTGGGTCCAACTTCTTTGGGACTCTCTGAGCTTCCTGAATTTCCTGGAAGTCTATTTCCTTTGCCAGATTGGGGAAGTTGTCCTTTATTATTTGTTCAGATAAGTTTTCTATTTGTTGCTCTTTCTCTTCCCCTATAATTTGGGGACCCCTTTCTGGTACCCCTATAATTTGGATGTTAGAACATTTAAAGATGTCCTGGAGGTTCCTAAGTCTCTTCTCCTTTTTTTGAATTCTTGTTTCTTCATTCTTTTCTTTTTGGTCATTTTTTTCTTCCTTCTGGTCCACTCCCTTGATTTGAGTCCCACTTTCCTTTTCCATCACTGTTGGTTTCCTGTGCATTTCCCTTCATTTCAATTAGTTTAGCCTTCATATGTTCTTCTAATTTGTGACTAAAATCAACCAGTTCTTTGAGCATCCTGATCGCCAGTGTTTTGAACTGTGCATCTGATAGGTTAGCTATCTCTTTGTTGCTTTAAAGTATTGGCTGTGGGGTTTGAGCTGTTCTTCTTGAGCCATAATGTTTTGGTCTGTTATGTACCTGTTACGTAGTAAGGTGTGGAGCCCTAGGTGTTCACCAGGGCGGGGCAACCCAATCACTGGGTTGTGACTCTGTATGTGGGGGCAGGGTCAGAGAGGGGCAATGGCACTTGCTCCACGCTCTCTCTCTGATTTCGGCCTCCCCTGCTCCACAAGCAAACCTGGCCCTCCTGGTGCCGGGTGTGTGGGCCTGTGCACCCTCCAGGACCCTGTAGGTCTCTCCAACAAACTCTCTGTGAGCCTGGGAGCTTCACCCAGCACCTCGACCCCAAAAGTTTCTCCAATTGGTGCTTTTAAGCTTTAATTCCTGTCGCTGGGGCCCTAGCCTGCGCAGTCTGTCTCACTGCTTGTTCCTTTGCCTGGTTTATCTGCACGTGAATGTGTGACCATGGTCAGCAAGCCGCCTTGCACCCCCACTGGATCTGCCCATTGCCACCCCATGCCTGGGATCTGCCAAATACCGCCTGCACTCCTGGGTCAGTCCAGCTGATTTTTCCTGTGCGACCCTGCTCTGCCAGCACTGACTCCACCCCTCTTACCAGTCTGGCTGAATGGCTCGTTGTTGTCAAACTTCCATACAGCTCTGTGTTTTGCTTGCGTTTTTGTTACTAAAACTTTGTTGTCTTTAAACTTGGTTGTGCGAGGAGGCACAATGTTTCCACCTATGCCTCCATCTTGGCTGGAAGCCCGTATCTTTTTTTTCTTAGATAAGTCCCTTTAACATTTAATATAATTAGAGCTTGGTGATGATGGACTCCTTTAACTTGACCTTATCTGAGAAGCACTTTATCTGCCCTTCCATTCTAAATGATAGCTTTGCTGGATAGAGTAATCTTGGATGTAGGTCCTTGCCTTTCATGACTTTGAATACTTCTTTCCAGCCCCTTCTTGCATGAAAGATTTCTTTTGAGAAATCAGCTGATATTGTATTGGGAAATCCTCTGTAGGTAACTCTCTCCTTTCCTCTTGCTCCTTTTAGGATTCTCTCTTTGTCTTTAATCTTGGGTAACTTAATGACATGCCTTGGTGTGTTCTTCTTTGGGTCCAACTTCTTTGGGAGTCTGTGAGGTTCCTGGACTTGCTGGAAGTCTATTTCCTTCACCAGATTGGGGAAGTTTTTCTTCATTATTTATTCAAATAAGTTTTCAATTTCTTGCTGTTCCTGTTCTCCTCTGGTACCCCTATAATTTGGATATTAGAACATTTTAGGTTGTCCCAGAAGTTTGGAAGAGTCTCTTCACTTTTTCAAATTCTTGATTCTTCATTTTGATCTGGATGGATGTTTATTTTTTCCATTTATTTTGAATCATTGCTTTGAGTCCTGGTTTCCTTCCTGTCACTGTTGGTTCCCTGAATATTTTGCTTTATTTCACTTTGGGTTTTCTTCATTTGTTTTTTTCATTTTTTGACCAAGTTCAATCATATCTGTGAGTATTTTGATTACCAGGGCTTTCAATTCTCCATCAGATAGGTTGGCGATCTCCTCCTCGCTTAGCTCTTATTCTGAGGCTCTACTATCTTTCATTTGGGCCATATTTCTTTGTCTTGGAGCAGCTGGTAAGTTGTAAGGGGGCGGGGCTTTAGGTATTGGCCAGGGCAGGGCAGCCCCCCTTGCCGCGCTGTTGCACTGCCTGTGGGGGAGGGGCCAGGCAGGGAATGGCTCCCTCCTCCTCTCTAGGGCCCTTTTCAATAGACTCTCAGACTCTTCTGTGAGACTGGGAGTTTGTTCTACCACCGCAACCCCAGCTGTAACCCACAGCCACCTCTGAGTCCCCTTAAGCTGGGCAGCCCCAATGTTCTGGTGTCCCCTCCGTATTTCTGAGTCGGCAGGCTGGGCCCACCACCTTCCTGGTCAGGTTGTTCCGATTGGTTTTTTTCTTTAGTTCCTTGGTGGTTGCAGTTCTATGCAGTTTGATTTTCTGGCACTTTTGGTTGCTTATTGATTTCAGATGGGTTGTTGTCCTCCTTTTGGTTGTGCAAGGAAGAGACTGTCTACACAGTCTCTTTTGTAGACATTTTTCTTGGGTTGCTAATATCTCCAAATCTATGATAGAGTCAAATATGTCTCTTATAGGAGAATTATGGCAGTAGAATTTAATATAACTACTTCAGTGATAAACTTGACTGTAACTATTTGAATGACTGACAAATGTTTTAAATTGGTATGGCTTGAATTCCCAGTTGGGGAAGCTTCAGCAGGAAAAGCATCCCGCAGCCTAGCGCAACACATTCCTGGGCCCGGTGGCATCGAAGGGGTGAAAGGCGCCGCCGGCGGGGTGATGGGAGAGCTGACTCGCGCACGGATCGCACTGGACGAGCGAGGGCAGAGGCTAGGAGAGCTGGAGGAGAAAACCGCGGGCATGATGACCAGTGCGGAAGCATTTTCCAAACATGCACATGAGGTAAACTGCCTATGAAAATACAGACATCTTCAAACAGTAATAATTGGAAACATTTAGGCTCTGCGCAAGAAAGCTTAAACAGAGACGCAGCTGTAACATCCTGTGCCAGAGGCAAGGTAACCTGAACCTCATTACAGCATAAGTATTATCATCATTCCCCCAGCATTTGGGAGAAAAGTGCTTTTTAGAAAATACTGTAACACACTGACACTTCATTATCTTCGGGGGTAACTCAAAAGCGCATGACCCGTTTGTGCTGATAGGTCGGATGCATCTTGCACGTCATGCGCTACCCTGGTGCTCAGGCAGGCATGTGCTCGTCCTGGAAGGTGCGAGGGACGTGACGGCTGAGAGCTACACGCACCTTTGTGTCTCAGTCATTAAAAGTGATTTCCTGTCAGCTGAGTCTTTACAGCTTGATTTGTTTTTCTAAAAAAACCTTTCCATTGTTTTACAAAATTAAGGACATTTTATAAAAGATACACTGCGATATTCATGATTAACTTATTAGGGCCTTGTTTGATTAGTACTTTTGGAGATTTTTAAACATCTAATGGTGACTATTTTTTCTTTGCAGTTAATGCTGAAATATAAGGATAAGAAATGGTACCAGTTCTAAACTTCTAAAGAAGCTGGGGCTGCTCTGAGAAACCATGATTCAGGGAAACCAAACCTCTTCCCAGCATCACTATCCAACTGCTAGAAGCCAGTTTCTTCTACAAAATGTTCCATTACAGTCCATCTGAAGTTATCATGAGAGACTTATCAGAGACACTGTACAACTGAAAGTCTGGAACCCTGGTTAGAATCCCGAGGTATGGCTGAGTCTGCCTTTTCCCACGTGGAATGGAGGTATCATCTTGGCATGTCATTTGCTAAGGATTTATATTTAGGAACTACGGGGAGTTCTTCTGATTTGAAAAAACCCTGTACAAACAAAATCATTAATGCACTTAATGAAAAAAAAACCTTTGCATGATAAATTAACATCCTAAGAGGAAAAGAAAAAAAGCATGTTGTGATAGAAGAAAAAAAGATTAATGGTAAACTATTTTTATAAAATGGGCCACACCTGACAGTTTTAAAAATCTGCATTAGAAATTATCAGTGCATTTCAAGTACATTTGTCATACCCATCTGAAAAGGAAAAGAAAACCAAACCAAATGTTCTTCTCATCTGTAACTTTAATTATACTAAAACATTATGAAATTCTGATGGCAAAAGTCTGACTGACATTCCTCCCACTCCGTAGTATCTGACATCATTCACATTCTCAGTCATAACCAAGTATTGGTGGTACAGTAAGTCATTTCTAACACAATTATTTCCATTTCTATCACTTTCAGGACAAGTTGCTATTTTTAGTCACAAACCGTGCAGGGCTGGGACACCTCAAAGCATTTTTTCAGCCTAGTTTTGCTCTCTGCAAGGGAGTTGACTGACAGGTTTGGGGAAAGTAGATTACAAGAAACAAGAACAACGCAGTTAGCTTTGAGAACTGATTTCACACGCTCTGGTTTGTTTCTAAAGTGATACATTTTTAATGCTCCATTTGTATCCTTGTCTGCCAGTTACACAGTATATTACTGTTCAAACCCAGTGGGGTCTTCAATCCAAAGGTGCTCTTGCATCCTGACACAGACCAAACTGGTCATTCTCTTTAGCATGATTCAGTAAAACCTCAGTTAATGTTTTGGGAAAGAGATTCTGATTTACTACATTTCTGACTAACAAGGGCTTTCATTAGAAAATAATTTCGGTTCAGTACTTACTGAAAACCTTTATAAAATATGGTCATGTTTTTGCTAATGTTGGCCTCAGTCACCATAATGCGCAACAGAAATACACAGAGAGTTGAATGATACAAAATAACTTTGTCATAAACCAGAGGATTCTATCAATAAATATCAAATACCTTTTCCTTATTAAAAACTGTTTTCAAAATGAAATAAATAATATCCTTAACAGGGTTAAAGGCATCTCTCACAACTCAGCAGACAACTAGAGGCAAAAAACAAACACACCTACTATCTCTATTTAACAAAAGTCTAGGAGTCAAAAGTCATAGAAATCAATGTATGCCAATGCCAGGACCCATCCTATAGTATGTTGCTCCTTCAAAAAGAATTTTTTTAAAGAATTAATGACTTTGGTTTATTGAACTTCAATTAACCAACAGCTTACTAGATATATAGATCTGTGTTTCAAGAAACCACCATTTTCCTGAAGGCCATTTTATTTTAATAGCCAAAATAGTATTGAATATTTCTTGGGTTTTTTAGATTTTTTTTTTATTTTTAGTGAATTTGTTTGAAGTGGTACTTCCTTTAAATATTCTTAGTAATTTTGAGAAGAGCAACGATGTTTGAAAGAAGCAGCAAACGTGAACCTGGATGGCATTTCTCAGTGTCCTTGACTTCTTCTGATTTCTCATAAAACCCTCTCCATGAATCTCTCCAGACTCCTTTGAACAGCCTTAGGGTAACAAAACCTGACTTGGAAATACAACATGATTCATAAAATTATATAGTAAAAATATCAAAGAAACCGGAGACTAGGATTTGGGGAACACTAATAGATGGCAGTGCACTATCAGTTTCAAGGACCCAGTTTTCTGATTTTTCTGAACAGATAATTTACCATTTCTATATTTTTAAAAACATAAAAAAACCTAAAATGTTAGTTTATTTTAGGAACAATGAAACTCAGTTCGAAGTGGCATTAAGTTCAGTGGCTGTTGTGAAGGCCCAATAGGACATGAGGCGACTTGTTCTCTAGGAGGACCCTCCGCGGCGGCGCTGCTCACAGCATCCTCACTGCGGCCGCTGTCCTTGCACCGCAGCATGTTCAGCAGCATCCCTGGCCTCTGGGTACCAGATGCCAATAGCCGCCCCTGAGTGATGACAGTCACGAATGTCTCCACCCATTGACCAAACTGCTCCCAAATGCGAGCCACTGCTCCACATTGCTTAAAGACAGGCTAAGTGTGAATATATAATATAATGTATGTCTTGTATAAAATTGAATGTCATAAGTGCACAGTGTCTTAACAAGATAAATTATTATACCCCAAATTACAAGTGTGGTTTAGTATGCAATAAAATACTATTTTGGAGAAAGCTTATATGAATCAGTAAAAAAAATAATAGTTAAAGAATATTTTAAAGCATACAGAGAAAATACCAAAAAGGAGAAGATAGTGTTTCACAGAAGTACTTAAAACTCTGGCTTTAATGAATAGATCAAAAGTTAGCACAATTGGAAGTAAACAGGTGCTTCTGAAATGCTTGAAAAGAAGAGATTCTTTTTAAATGTGTCTTTCAATATTGTTTTTATAAACCCTTTCATAATGTAAGGGTAACTTGATCCCACAAGTTCCTGATTAGTGGAATACAAATTAATGAGGTTTTACTGTATCAAAATTATTTTTATAATTCAAAGAGACAGCAATAATAAGTATCTAATGTGGATGTGATTTTTCTCTTTGGACTTTTCTATTCATTGCACTCACCCGAGCACATGCGTGCACACGCACACCTCCCATCAGCATCGCCATCAGCACTACTGTCTTTGGCAAATGAGTACTATTGATCCATGTAATTCTTTAAATATCTCTTATCTACTCTTTAAATGTCTTGCCTCTATCTTAGAACATAAGAAAAATATTCTTAGTAATTTGGACAATGATAGAGAAAATGACTTGGAGCCTAGTTGCCATCAAAATTACATTCTGTCTGCCAAGGTGGCGTCAGAAAATGAGGCTTGTAAACCCGGTGTCTGTGAGTTGACTTTGTCTCCCTCTGACTCCTTCAAGCGGTGAGCCCTTCTTATCCCAGGAGAAAATGGGCCTTTGCATTCTGTTCATCAGTGGGAAGCTAGACATGTTTGTTTTTCTCGTTCTAATAATAAGCAATAATTCCTATCCTGAAATCATCCGTTGACCCTGGAGTTTGGAAGAAAGATGACTGATTTGTCATTTATTTTAATTCCTTATGAAAGCAGCACTACTGACTGTGCTTCCTACGTAGACGTTGCTGAGACACAGACTTAGCATCCTGGCCACCATCAGGGTTGTTGTCAGACAAGCTTTGGAAGGACGGCAACATAACTGAGTGAGTTCCTGTAACTCAGTCAAAAAGACGTTTTTCAGATCTCATCTATAGCCTGTGAATGATTCTCAAGCTAATAAATCAGAATCAAGGTCTCTATTTCTCAAAGATCTTCAGGGGTTGTAAAGGAACGTGTATACTGCTGGGTACGCATGACCCATGTGTCTGGTTTTAAAGGTACAATTTGTCAGCTACCTGCATTAAGGGAGGACCGTTGCTTTGAACAAGGAGAAAAAACATACAAGCCCTAGGTTGGTTGAAGAAAATTAGGATTAGCTCTTGGAGATATTGATATTGGTAAGATGTTTGGCAGAGGGAAAAGGAAGAGGGTCTAGAAATGTAAACTAAAAATCCTCTTCTTGGTTTAGGATCACTGGGACAACCCAGGAGCAAACCTGTGTGATTATTCTTGCCCTTGTGGGCAGACATCTTAACTAGGCCACTTTCATTCAGAGGTGGCAGTGCCACAGGGAGTCAGAGACTCCCATCAGGCTCTGCTCTGTGCATGGGGGCTTGTGGGGGAGAAACACAGCAGCCTTCACAGCGTCCTCCCCTCGGCCCTTTGTAGCCTCAGCCTGGTTTGTGACGAGGTACTGTGTCATACACACACTGCCCCGAGTGCCAGAAGTACTTGCCAGTACACAGTATGTTGGGATACCACCACTCCAGGGAGCACGGTTGTCATGTAGCAGGATTAGCGTATGTATTGACAAACAGCATAACCCTGAAAGGATGAAATGCACACCAGGTAAGGTCTGACTTGGGAAAGGGAGAGGAAGTACTGATCTGAGGCAAGGATGTCGGGCTAGGGAGGAACGTGGAAGCCGGAGTGAAGCGGAAAAGGCTTTGATGAGGAACCACAGCACTGAAGGGTGTGTTTATTTATATACTTAGGCAGGGAAGTGATTCTCAACCTTGGCTGTTCATAAGAATCACCTAAGGAGCTTTTAAAATTCCCAATTACATGAAAATCTCTCAGAGTGGGAGCCAAACATCAGTATTTTTGAAAGTCCCCAAGGTGGTTCCAGTGTCCAGCTGAACTGTATAAGCACAGCTTCATGGCCAGCTAAGGAGACCCGCTGGCTCACCTGGGCTGGTGCCCAGGCCCCACTTCTGAGGGATCAGGGCAGGCGAGATGTAGGAGATGCAGTAATGGCTCGACTGCTGTTTATTTTGTGTCACAACCCAAAACAAATGTTCTGTGCAAATTCTGACCAGATGGTGCCCCATTAACTCTTAATAACAACTCTTTGTGGTTTTCTCCTTTATGACTTGGCCATCAATTATTCCAATTCAAACACCTAGGCTTTGATTATTTTATACATGTGACATCACGAAACACCAGAAATAGCATAAGAAATTCAACAGCATGTAAAGCTAAGTGGAAAACTAATTCTCAATAGTTTCATAATAGAAATGCTCAAAACAATCATTTACTAAATTAGGTCCAAGTTTATTATTCATTCTTTGTTCGGGGGAGAAATGGGTACCAGGTGCCTGTTCTGCTATAGGTATATTTTCTTGAATTTGAGCTTAGTGAGGTGGGAGAACAACTCTTCCTTGTTGTCTTAGCTCCCAGGGCCACTCCGATTCGTTTGCTTAGGAACTGGACTGTGTTTAAGGAGAGAAGAATGACTTTAACTCACTCTCTGGCCTCCAGGGCCCTGAAAGAGTGCTCTCGCCTTCAAAAAGGGAGAGTCTGCCGTCCGAGGCCATAACAGTGAGAAAATTCAAGCAAGTCCTCTCCTCTCACGCTGCTCCCCTTTAGTTTTGGCCCACCCTTCTCACTGCAAAGTCAGATAATAAAGTAGGTGGTGGTTTTGGACAAGTACACACAGGATCAAAATCTCTAATAACCTATAATTTTTAGTACTTAATTATGTGATATTTTACTCTAGGAAATAAGAAACCGATGATATCATTGATGTATCTTTCTTTCATCCTCAGAATTTTTGCATCTTTTCAGAAAATGACAAATTACTATTTTTCTGTTGCACTCAGCAATTGTGACTATACTTAAAATTCTTGTAGTCTGTAGAGATATCAATAAAATTGTATATGTTTGTACATAGATGCTCTCTTATGTTATGATGTCATGAACTACTAATGATATTTGCCAAGATTAAATATGGACAGAGGTAAGACCCTCATTTGCAATGCCGTGAACCATGGTTTTACAAAGTATAATTGTTCTAAAAAGGCAGGGAGGTGGGGTGGGGGAGCAATGTACACCATATATATTTGAACTAAAAAAGAGAAAGTAGTAAAACTAAACACAAATTCCCTAAACTCCAAAAGGGCAGAAATAGCCATTCAAAATTTCCATCAAATTGGGGAGATACATAATTTTTTACTGGAAGATTTTACAGACAGTTTTTGAGGGTGTGGACTGATTTCATCTTTGGTGAAGTAAGTACTGGGCAGCATAATAAACTGAGGCTGAATGAGATGTACTTACAACATTCATATCTCACTTCCTCTCTTTAAAGCTCAGGCTAACAATCCCCAGTACCAATAAAATAAGCTATTATGGGCTTATACCACCACCTAGTGGTTATAATGAACCTTCATTAACCCACCTAACCCACTGCCTCCGAGAGCTCCCTAGAAAAGTGTGCATGCTCCTCTCTCTCCTCTGGCTTTCAACTGCAGTTAATACCCCTTTGGGAACTTTCTTTATACTGGTTACACTGTGGCCTTAGCCAACTAATCATCTTTTTCCCAAATCTGTCTAGTTATCTAAGGAAAAATTTCCCATCACCACAATTTCCCTACTTTTGGTTCCATATAAAAATGAAAAACCGAGAAACTAACCCTAGTTTTTCTATTACAAGTACAAATATAAAGAAAGATACAATAAAATCAAGATACCCAGGCCTCCCTTCAAGAATTTTCTGAGAGGATCCATTTACTTCCTCACTTTCTTTGAATTACAGTCACTCACTCTTCACATGTCTACATTAGGCACTCAGGGCAGGGCCCTGTGGTCCTCTCTTGCTAACTTTGCTCCTGTGGGCTATGGATGCCTTTCGGGTTCTCTACCATTCATGCCCAAGCCCCTAAGTTAAAGTGTTCAGTGTCTTCGTGGTATCACTTTTGCATGAGAACTTTTTTCTTTTTTTCCTTGTAATATAGTCATTTTTACAATTTTTTATCTTTGACCTTTGTTTTAAAGGCCTTTACATCCCTACAATAATAAACACTCTCTTATATCTTCTTTTCTTTCATAGGTTTATTTTTTATATCCGGCTTTTAACCCATCAGGAGTTTGAGGATAGGGATTTAACTTGATATTTTGAGAAATGGATAACATCACAAAAGTATTTTTGAGTGACTCAACTTTTCACCACTAACAAAATGACAGTTTCATGTAGACACATACAGATAAGTCTGTTTTCTGAATTATCAAGTAATCTGTCTATTCATGTGTCATTGTCAAACTGTTAGGTTATTAAACCTTTATAATATGTCCTTATATGTGATAGGTAGCTTTGACTTTTTTCAAGTTTGATAGGTATTGATTTTCTCTCTTTAGTTGAGTTTCAGGATATATTGATCTAAAAAAATCCCTGTTGAGACTGCTTGAAATTATAGTAAATTTATAGATTAATAATTTTTTTTGCTGGCATTGCTTTCTTTAGGACATTTTTATCCTTTTTTTCACAATCATTTTCCTCATTTATGTTGATACTTTTGCCTTCACTTAGTTTTTCAAGTTGCACACCTAGAGTATCTCAAATGGCCTGAATATCAGTAACTCCACAAGCAGCTATTTCTTCTAATGCAGACAAAGTACTACAAACTTATTGGCTTAAAACAATAATAATTGAGGCAGTCACTGAGATAGTGTGACTTTGCTCATTCCTAACTTCACTCCCTGTCACAAGGACTAACAACTATTCGAGGACAAGATACCACTGAAAAAGCCCGAGAACATGGGGTGAGACTGAGCACCCCCTGCACCGCGGAGACTGAGACGGGCCAAGTTAGGTGGTAAGAGGAGCAGCTGCATGCTCACTGCACTGCCTCTTCCCCGGGCCAGCGCAGCACCACAGCGGGAGGTCTCCCCTGAGCCTGTGGTTACTCCAGGAAGGAAGAAGAGCCCCGCATGGACATTGAGTGCTGTGAGTCCCTTCTTGGGAGAATTACTATGGTCTTGCATCACTAGGATCTCTGTGGAATCTGCGGGGCTTGAACACTGGGAATCAGATTGTGACGCAGAAGGGGGTTGGGGCTTGCAACAAACAGTGCTCAGATCTTGGCAGACCAAGGTCCTACCTATAAAACCCAATCAATAGTCTAAACCCAGAGGCTTTGCTAATCAACAGAGCCAAGAGAGTAGTGTAGTTTGGCCAGGGAACGTAGTGGAATACAGGTGTGCCTGATTTGGGATCTCATGTGAAGAGCCTTTCTGCCCTGGAGCCTGCTGTCCCCTACCACCTCCCCCAACGCTCCCCACCCCCCCCCCACACACACACACATACACACAGAGGCATATACTTTCCACTACCCACCCGGTCTGAGCAGGGGAGCTAAGAGATAGCCCCATCCACTGCTCAGTGTATATCCAGGCCCCACCCAAACAGAAACAGTGGCCAGAACACCGGGACACTGCACAGCCTCACAATGCTAGAGCAAGCAGACCTCATGATCTGCAGAGCAAAGCCAGTGGCATTGTTCTGCCAGGAAACTCAGGGCACAAGTCAGCTCGAATCAAGACCACAAATAGCCTTGCAGGCATTGGAGCTATTTATTACTCCACCTGGGAGCTGATTCATAGCCTGCCCACTGCTACACATAGCTCCCTGCCCTGCCTGACCAGGAAGTCTGGCCTTAATACCTGGGAAGTTGTGTACCACAGCAGCACTCAAGTGGGGAGCCTGGCTGATAGCACTATCCACGAGGAGAGCAAAAAAGGCAGTCCTGCTAGGCCAGGAGCTTGGGTACAGTTCTGCTTGAGTCAAGATTCCAAACAAAGAGCCCTGGCAGCTATAAAGTCAGTACTGTCACCCTACATGGGCAGGGAAGCTAATTCAGTCACACCTACTGCTGGGTGTAGTACCCAGTCCTGATCGTCTAGGAAGACGAAGACAGTCCAGAGAACCCAGGCAGCCACAGAACCCACACATAGGCTACCCTATAGAAGTCCCATTCAACTGTTCCCAGCCAGCAGCATCCCTCCCCCCTTCAACTTCGAAGCACGGGCAGTCGCCTCTCTGCAAAATAGACCCTGACAGCAAACCCTACAGTCCCAAGGACATTACCAGCTGACACATCCAGAACACCAAGCTGAGCTGACTGGTGAAGAACTACCTCTACCAAAGTGAACCTGTAAAGTCTAGAAAAGGGAACTGCTTACTCACATGCACAGAAACCAACATACAGAATCAATAATCACAAAGAAATCAGGTAAACATGACACTATCAAAGGAAACTAATAAAGCTCCAATAACTGACCCTAAAGAAACAAACAGCTGGTAAAGAATTCAGAATAATCTTCTTTAAGAAGTATAGTAAACTACAAGAACACAAACATACAACTAAACAAAATGAGAAGAACAAAATGAGAAGTTCAACAAAGAAATACAAATATCAAAACAACAGAAATCCTAGAGCTTACAAATTCAATGACTGCACTGAAGAACTCAACAGAAAGCTTCAACAACAGACTCAACCATGCAAAAGAAAAAATCAGTTACCTAGGAGACAGGACATTTGAAATTATCCAGTTAGAGGATCAAAAAGAAAAAACTTAAAAAGTGTGAAGAAAGCCAATGGGACTTAAGGGATACAATAAAAAGAAATAACATTCCCATTATGGGAATCTCTAAAGAAGAGGAGAAATGAACAGAAAGTCATAATATATTTAAAGCAATAATGGACTTCCGGGTGAGATAGAGGCGTAGGTGGAAACATTGTGCCTCCTTGCACAACCAGTTTAAAGACAACAAAGTTTTAGTAACAAAACCACGACCAAAACACAGAAAATTGAACTGTATGGAAGTCCAACAACAATAAACCATTCAGCCAGACCGGTAAGAGGGCAGAGTCAGTGGCTGGCGGAGAGGGGTCATGCAGAAAAAGTGGCCAGACCAACCCAGGCACGCAGGCGGCGGTTGGCAGATCCCAGGCATGGGGTGGCAACAAGCGAACCTAGTGGGGGCACAAGGTGGCTGGCTGACCATGGTCACACATTCGTGCACAATAAACCAGACGAAGGAGCTAGCAGTGAGACAGACCATGCAAACCAGGGCCCCAGCATTGGGAATTAAAGCCTAAAAGCACCAATTGGAAAAACTTTCCAGGTCAAGGTGCCGGGAGAAGCTCCCAGGCTCACAGAAAGTTTGTTGGAGAAACCCACAGGGTCCTGGAGGGTGCACAGGCCCACACACCCAGGAGTCAGCACCAGGGGGCCCAGTTTGCTTGTGGGAAGCAGCAGAGGGGACCGAAATCCGAGAGAGCAGACCAAACACCATTGCCCCTCTCTGACCCCGCCCCCACATACAGCATCACAACCCAGCTACTGGGTCACCCCACCCTGGTGAACACCTGAGGCTCTGCACCTCATACATAACAGGCATGACCAGACAAAACATTGTGGCTCAAATGGAAGAACAAATCAAAGCCCCAAAGCCAATACTTCTAAGTGTCCAAGAGATAGCTAACCTATCAGATGCACAGTTCAAAACACTGGTGATCAGGAAGCTCACAGAACTGGTTGATTTTAGTCACAAATGAGAGGAACATATGAAGGCTAAACTAAGGGAAATGAAGGGAAATGCACAGGGAACCAATAGTAATGGAAAGGAAACTGGGACTCAAATCAATGGAGTGGACTAGAAGAAAGAAAGAAACAACCAAACAGAAAAGAATGAAGAAACAAGAACTCAAAAAAAAATGAGGAGAGGCTTAGGAACCTCCAGGACATCTTTAAACGTTCCAACATCCAAATTATAGGGGTACCAGAAGGGGAAGAGGAAGAGTGACAAGTGGAAAACTTATTTGAACAAATAATAAAGGAGAATTTCC